CCCCAAAACCCCAAAACCCCAAAACCCCAAAACCCCTTAATTCTAATTCTAAGCTGAATTTATTTTTATTTTTAATTCATCCTGATTTTGATCTTTAGGCACACAAGAAATATTATAATTCTTAAATTCAAGTCGATTGAATCTCATACTTGAGTATAGACTGGTTGGGATTTGTTCATAAATATTCTGTTTCTCTTCAAATTAATATTTTTGCTTCTAACTGATTTCTCCTCAAATTTCTTAAGGAAAAGAACTAAACTTTTGTGACTAACAAATTCTGATATTTAATAATGTCTCCAAATTCTTGAAATATTCAATTAAATATGAAATTTATCTCTAATAGTTACTGAACCTTCATATATGTCTAATATGTATTCGGCTTTCTTCTCCATAATTTTGAAATTTCTGGATAAAGACAGATTGTAATGCAGCCTATGTGAGATTAGAGCGAAGATATATTGAATACCTAGAATTCCAAATCCAGCAGCTATGATTTCAATTAAGTTTGGGTACACTCCCATGAATATGATGTCCAGAATTGTCATCACAATTACTTCGATGTTTTCGAGGGAAAATACAGGGCCTGCTAATCCGAGAGTGAGAGCTTTGTTTACACATACTATTGCTAGTGACATAATTCCTCCTGAAAAAGCAATTATAATGAACTCGTTTGGAATAAACTGATGCTTCTCTGTGGCATAAATAAAAATAACAAATGGAGCATACAGTCAGCATTAGATGGTATATTTAGAAGCTGTCAATGTCAAGGGATCCAACCCGTAATTCTCAGAGAAGTATCTTGCCGTCATCCCAGCAATCGCAAAACCTCATGGTCACATACATGCCAGTGTTATTGAAAGAACTGAATAAAATTCTTTATCAACTAAAGCTTCTCTTTCATGCTTTTTAGAGCTTTGAGCAAATGCAAATCCAAAAATTCAGGCTAGAATCATTATCATTCCTGTCACCTACAAGTTATCACAAATACTTACATGATACTTCTTGAGCCTATCTCCGAACATAAAGTAAGCAAGAACGGCTGAGATTAGAGACGAGAGCCCAAAGATGCTTGTGAGGATTCCTTGGTTGATATCAGCATAAAGAGCTCATCTAAAGGTGAAATATACACAGCAGCTGATAGATATCATTATGAGACTGTAGAGAGCAGTTCCTAAGAGATTTAGCCAACAGAATCCTCCAGTAGTGGGATTTCTGAAGCAGCTTGTCTTCCAATTGAAATAGTTTTCTCCTTCTATACATTAGAAGAGGCCTTACTCCATTTTGAAATAATTTCAGATAAACCCAAAGTTATCATCATAGCTATAAAATGTTAATATTTTATACCCCTTTGGCCTAAGATACGTTCACAATCAAACACTATAAACAACACTAAACGAGTCTTGTTCTTCTAGCAAACACTTTTCTTACTTATGAAAGCTCCTATTCCTTGGATTGCACTAGCCAAATACCCAATGCTCACATTTTTCCCAAGCGTAAAATTCCCAATCCCAAAAAACACCCCTGCACAAACCCCGTACAAAAGACTCTTTGTTTGTGACTTAGGAGGGCTCTGCGAGAGCAGAGCCCTCCTTGTCAGTTCCAAAGGGCTAGGTTGAGGAGCTGTTTCTGGCAGTGAGGAATTCAGGTTCTTCAGTGAGGTGTTGGTAAGGAAGTGGGTTGGATTTGGAAAGGATGGAAGGGTTTGGGTGGAAGAGAGTGGGCTTGGAGTGGAGGGAGAGTGGGGAGGAGGACTGGTGGGAGTGGAGAGAGCGAGGGGGAAGGGAGGGGCAAGGATTGGTGCATGACATGTTTGAATTTAACTATTTTGTGAGGAGAGAGGGGTTTTGGGGTTTTGGGGTTTTGGGG